CAAGGGCATTTCGAAACGCCCCCACTTTATTTTGGCGGACCAGAGCAAATTGAATGCTCAGGTTGACAAATGAGTCACCAAATTTCGACCTGCCTGTTGAGCTACTTATCAACTTTTTCAAAAATGATCTACATTTTCAATAGCAAAATCAAAATAATCTATAAGCAAAAGTTTACTTAATATTTTTAATTTAAACTAAAAACAAAAGTTTGTACGAATTTTTCACCGCCCACTAAGTTATGATCACTTTGATTCTCCCCTCTTTCAGTCATGAGAATTACTTCAATCAATTTCAATCAAAATGTTTTTTCACCGTAGTACGGGAAGAGCTAGTTGGATGATTTGATTTCAGAATTGAAGAAAAGGAATGCTCCGAAACAATGTAAAAAATGTTTAGTTTATAATATATTGACAAGATACGAGTTGAAAGTAATTTGAAGTTTATAACTTGACTTAGAAATCATTGCATCGCTCTTAAAAAGAAAAAAAAATATATACACATTCCGCTAAGATCAAGTTTGGCATTCCATCACATTGCATGCATAAAACATGAGAAATTCCTCAAGATGGTCATGACCACTTTTAATTTATTCAAACTATTATGTAATAGATTATACTTTTATAAGTTGTATAATTTTTCTTGAATGTTCGATTATTTGGTGTTTTATGTTTTTTTAGGAGTCCGAGCAAGTATTTCAATAAATTTCTACTGCCTGGAGCAATTGTAATTCTTGAAATAATCAGAGTTTTAAAACCTCCCATTTTTTTTTCGCCTTGTATGATAGCTGTTATTAGAATTAAATTCCCTTCCATTTGATTAGTCCTTCATCAAAATCCATAGTCTAACAGAAATTTATAGTCAGAAAATAACTATTTCTGTTAAAAGATATATTGTAAAAGTTGTGTAATGCGCACGCAGCACCATATTTTTTCGTCGTAATTATGATCTGTTTAGTATAGTTATAAAGGATTTTGAAAATTTTCGCATGATATCATAGCACCGAGAGGTTAAGGATAAAGTTGGTTATTTGTTTTTTCAAGGAAATTTATTTATAAATTAAATTAGTGTTATAATAAATTTCCCCAAATATATTTTTATTTTTGGTATATTGTTAGTCTACATACTAAAAAAGTATTTCTATACATGACCTCCTAATATTGTGGTCAATGTGGAATTAACCGACCGATATCGTCCATCAACGTGTGGTCAGTATTTATCGGATTTGTGGTAAGGAGGAAGATCGATTCTCATATAATATACGTGTTTAAATAGTTTGACGTCATAAAAATGAAGACGAGGCGAAATATTTCACTTATATGAACAATGTATTTTGACTTTAGTTATTTTTAACTACTTAGAAGTTTTCTATAATCCAATGTGAAATCGTTGCGATTGCTTTCTTTTTGTGTTTTTAAAATACGCTAAGCCAAAAAGTTAAATAGTCTAATAGGACTTATATGCCAAATTAAAAAAAAAGAACTAACGAGTGTGCTTTAGTTCACACGATAGAAGTAAAAACATCAACAAAGCGAGATTAATAATAGGAAATATAAATTATAAATAATAGCTCATTATAATGAGGATGGAATGTTGAACATTTCTCTCGCTTACAGTATACAGGTCCGATTTTTAGTTTCTGAGATATTTTTATCCATACCTTCAATAAAACTCACTATATCTTCGTTTTTCGACACTATTTTTTTTTCCTTGTACCTTCAATAACACGGCGTCGCGTTAAGATACAATTTAAAGTAATATATAGCTCAAATAATATTAGCCCATTACAGAGAGGATGAAATACTGAATATTTCCTCGCTTAAAGTATGCAGGTCCGATTTTTAGTTTCTGAGATATTTTAATACATATCTTCAATAAAACTCGTTATAATTTAGTTTCCGACATTATTTTTTCCTTTTTCGCCTCTGTAGCACATCGTCGCGTCAAGATACAACTTTGAATAATGGTCCATTATAAAGAGGATGAAATTATGAACTTTTCCTCGCTTACAGTATGCAGATCCGATTTTTAATTATTGAGATATTTAAATTCAATAGAAACACATAATTTCTTATTTTTATGGCCAATTACGAAAAAATATATATATTCACTTCCGCAAAATAGTTTCTGAATTCTCCATATTGTTTGAATTTTGAGATTTTATAGTCCAAATATTCAAAATTGTCGTTATCATTTGGTTTTTTCGCGTAATCTTATTCCCTTTCTGACTATCTGATTAGGCGCCACGTCAAAATACATTTTTTATTTATAGCTCATTCACAAAGAGAATGAAATGCTGGAAATTTACCATTGTACATTATGTAAGTCCGATTTTTAGTTTCTCAGATATTTAAATCCATATGTTGAACAAAATTCGTTATCATTTGGTTTTCAATACTATGTTTTCCCTTTTCTCCTCTCTAGCACGGCGTCGCGTTAAGACAAAATTTTAAATAATAGTCCATTACAAAGATATTATTGATGTATATTATGAAATGATGAACATTTCCTTCGCTTGCAGTATGCAGATCCGATTTTTAATTTTTAAGATATTTCAATTAGGCAAAGCTATCCGACTTTACTCGAGCGTTGCACATCGGAGATCTGACGGCTAAATCTAATTCACTTTCCACAAAAAAAAAGTGCAAAACGCCACTCAACAAGTTTTCACTTCAAAAATAGAGATAATTAAAGTTCTCTTATGGTTATTATTGATAGAAACATATTATTAATATTAAGTCTGAAACTGTATATATCGTATAAGTTGTACATTCTTTATTACTTTCACTTAAGTATATATGTAATATATAGTATTTATTTATTTATTTTTGCCTCCCTTCCTTGCCTTTCGGCTACACGGGGTTTTGCAGGGATGGCATGTCACACATGAGCATGCCATTCCTACTAAAATGTAATATATAGTAAGGGTAAGTATTCCGATCGAGAAAATTTTTTAATCCGAGTTTTCAACGGAAATTCACGTTTCGCGGTAAATTTCAGAGTCGAAATGACCAAGTCCCGAAAAATGGTCTGTGTGTTTGTATGTTAGCAGTCTAGCTCAAAAACGAAAAGTCCTACGACACTGTTATTACGTATTTAAGATAGATATATGCCTTAGATGTCACAACAATTTTTTCGTTAAAATCGGCTAACCGGAAGTACCACTTTATATAAACGCTGAAACACATTTCCATAATTTTCCCAAAAACGGCTCTAACGATTTTGATTAAACTCGGTGTATCATTGCATAATTAAGTGGTCTTTAATATCATTTAGGTCTTATTCACATTGATGTCACGTTACAGGGTTTAAATGCCCAATGTTCAAATACGTCTTCCTCTAAAGTACCTTCAATTATCAATTGAAATTATAATGTTGTCTCCTCTAGGGAGAGCCAAGTCAGATACTGAAGATATTTAGATCTTAGAAGAATTTTCGTGAATATAAGTTTTGTAGGTTACGATGTGACAAAGCTATTTACGGATTTTCAGGCGGATGTTAATAATTTGATATAAAGGGGGCTGTACCAGGGACTGTATGTATTAGTGTAATAAATGTGGTATGTATTATAAGACCTGTCGTTCTCAAATAGTGTTCCAACAAAAAGAAAAGAGACCCCAAACTTTTTCCTTATCGGTCCATTGATAGCACCAATAAGCATCGCGGATCATGGATTGTGGTGGCTAAAAAAAAAGTTTGTTCTGTAAATGACACTTACCAACACTTTATATAAACGCTGAAACACATTTTCACATTTTTCTCAAAAACGGCTCTAACGATTTTGATTAAACTCGGTGTATCATTGCATAATTAAGTGGTCTTTAATATCATTTAGGTCTTATTCACATTGATGTCACGTTACAGGGTTTAAATGCCCAATGTTCAAATACGTCTTCCTCTAAAGTACCTTCAATATGGTTTATTTTAAAAAGTTAATCATTTCACATTATTTAGAGTTACGAAGAAATGCTATATATAACTTTTGAATGAATTTTGTAAGTTAATAAAGGAGAAAAAAATAAAAATGCAGAAAAACCTGCGTTGCTATAGACTGTAGCGCCTAAACGAATGTACCGATTTCAATGAAACTTTGCTTAAGCCATGTTCTCGACACCCTTTAAATTTAAATATATGACATACTTCAACGAAAAGAAGCTAGAAAAAAAGTTACGAGAGATGGTAAAATTAAATTCCGAATAACTCAAAAGTATACACTTTGTGGATATTGTGATAAGATGATTCAAACGTATTTAAATTTCCTAATAAATGATCTTTCATTCATGTTTCATCGAAATCAAAGCACTACTAGTAGAGATATCGCGATTTTAAAAGATTTTTGGTTTATTATTACTTTCACTTACGTATATATGTAACATATAGTGAGGGTAAGTATTGCAATCGAGAAAATTCAATGGAAATACACGTTTTGGGTTATCCTGAGTCCAAATAACCAAATCTCGAAAAATGGTCTGTATGTCTCTGTGTCTGTGTGTATGTGAACACTCTACCTCGAAAACGAAAAGTCCTACGAAACTGATATTACGTATTTAAGATATGTATATGCCTTAGATGTCGCTGCAACGTTTTGCTTAAAATCGGCTAACCGGAAGTGTCACTATATATCAAAGCTGAAACACATTTTTAATATTCAGTCTGAAACTGTATATAGAAAATAGGAATAGAAAATCATGTTTATTCTGCGATTAGGTCCCTTAAGAATAACAATACTGTTTTAACCAATTGACAATAAATATATTGTATAAGTTGTACATTCTTTACTTTAACATGCAATCGACGATATAAAAATTAATTCACTAAACGCGTAATAAAAGGTTGCAATAAATAAACTATAATATGAATTGAGATGTTATCAGCTGATTGCATTTGATCGATAACTCACTCGTAACACATTCCTAATCAATATTATCAATATTAACGCTAGGGACCGTGGAGAACTACACGATTACCAGGCAATCAGTACTGCTCTGATAAGATTGTACCACTCAGAGTTATCTTATACTTATCTGGTACCAGTTGTGACCGATCGTTTAATAGTCTTCGGTCTAAGCTGTATTAATTGTTTTCTTTTCGTGTTAGTTTTCGATTCCCAACAGGAATGCCCTTTCAATACCAATACCAGTACGGCCCAAAGGAGACATTCAATTCCTTCTGTAGTGAATCGAACCCTCTCTGACCAAGATGACGGACGAGGCGCGGTTACATAACGGTTACCAATGCCTGCCAGAAGGTAGGATTTTTCATTATATAAGGATTTTCAAAGCATCCTGTATATTTATTTTACAATTTTATGTTTTCATATCTCTAGACAGTGTATAATTGATAAGTACAGACAAAAATATTAGCAATTCAACATCGAACTTCTAACAAAAACATTCTTTTCAGGCAGAGGTCTCAAAAATTTTGTTCTGCGGGCCACATTGAAACTAAGACGACCCGCCCCCCCCCCTCCAATTTTTGTAAACTCAAAAACATCGATGTATCAATATGCAAAATCATTGAAAGTCAAACATCGATATTAAAGATACATTGGCATAAAAATCATCATTTTTTTTTTATTTTCTGTAATAGTAATAAGTAACTTTTATAATTGATTTTTAAAAATCGTAACACCTGCATATTTTTTTATTCCTCTAGCAATCTTTATTTTTTTTTTAATGCTACAAATTTCTTATTATTTAATGACCTTTATTGAAAATTAGCTGATGTACCCATCGTTGGTGGATGTATAGTTGAAATTTGAGAATCCGTGTAAAATTAGAACTTGATCTGAATATTGTGGAGGACTTGATGAAATTTTTGGGATTTTTTTTTTCTGAAATCCGGTTAATCCTAAAAATGTATACGACAACATTTATTAGGCTCGTGAATTTGAATCAAATGACACCTTGAACGGAAAGATCGGACAATGTTGAAAAATCAGTGTGGATTTTTCCCGTTGAGTTGTGATAATTTTTTCCATCAGTTGTACAACTTTTAAATGTGGATCGCGATAGAGTAGGTTGGGGTGAGAATCGAAGTAAGTAACTGCCTAACCGAGATCTCTAGACAAATTACTCAAGAATTCATAACTTTGGTTCTACTCAATATTTTGTTTTCATTTAAAAACTATATTTTAATCCAAGCAAACCTAAATATAAAGTCAAAATTTCAAAAGTCTACCATTAGCCATTGCCGAGTTTACCCCTATCAAAATTTCATTGGACATCCAGACAGACAAAAATGTTTTTAAAAGTCCACCAAATCGGCTTTTAAAAACATTTTTGGTGTCTGCAATGTATGAAACGGAAAGATATCATAAAACGGGTTATTTCTATTCAATGTACAGACAAAAACTTTATTTTATATATATATATATATATATATAGATAATGTAAAAACATATCAAAACTTTTGTGAATAACGGGGTGCTGTAAGTAATTTTAATGTAAAATGATTTTTTTCTGCCCATGTTAATCAGCTGATTTCAAAATTATTAGGCTTGATATAGATAGCCAAAATAATCCTCATTTAAATGGAGGCAAAGTTGCAAAAACATTAGAAAAAGTTTTCATTTTTCTAAAGTCACGTTTAGACATTTCACAAACTATGGGACAGATAAATATATATAAATAAATATAAAACCCGAATAATCTCTGACATTTCATCTAAATAAGATTAATGATAGTGGATGATGTACAGATCGCAGAAATTTAAATACAGACGCACAGAACTTCATGTCCAAAATCTAAAACGTGAGTGAGAATTTTCGATTCTGAGTAAAAACTATTTTTAACTTACAAAGCTACCAACCGCAACAATACAAAGCTTATCTATCTTCGATAGTGAGGAAGTAATAATGAAGACTATACTTTAGAAATAAAATTTCATTGAAACTTATGTAATATATTTTGATACCCCCAAAATCGTTTTTGTTTTAATTTATTTATTTTTCTGAATTAGCTCGAACGTGAAAGATTAGTTATGACTAACTATATCGTTATCTGGTTTGTTGACCGACATAATCTTGAGAATTCTGAAGGTCATAGAATGTAATGGAATGACTATATTTCTTTTCCGAGCTGCCCAAGCAAATATCAGTTTAGATTGCCGACTATATAAACCATAACTTGTTAGAAAAATCACTCGTAAACCCTCTCTGAATAAAACACAAGATATTCAGAATAAGAAAGGTGGGAGGGTAATTTTCGGGAAGATGGGTTGTGGGCTAAATCTGAAACGGATCCGATGTTTTATTTATTTATTTATTCTTTTATTTTATACATTATTCAGTTTTTATTGAGATAATTTAAAAAAAATATTATTTGCATATAATAATTTGAGACCTACACATATACTGGAAAGTAGTGATGTGTAGGCCTACACAAGAGTCTCGCAACAGTCTTGCAGTTATCTATTAGCTTATTACTATAAAGTTATAACTGTAATTTTTTAGATAGGAAAATCCTTACTAAGCCCAAATGAAAAATTAGAAGAGTTAAATCCAAAAGTATATTGGCTCAATTTCAACCTTTTCTAAATCAAATTGAACTTTTTCCATTTCAAATTCAACCTTTTCCAACTGAAATTCAACTTTTTCCATTTCAAATCCAACTTTCGAATTTTTATATATATTCGACTTTTTTTCGAAAAGAAGGCTACTCAGTATATTATCGAGGACATAGATTTTGGAAAATATAAAAAAAAAAATATGATAACGCGGTTGCATATCCATTTATTTAAACTTTTTCCATGCCATTTTCAATTTTTTTCCAAGTCAAATTCACCGTTTCAAATTAATATTTTTGATTTTTGTAAATTTTGAATTTTGTTTTTTTGATAACTGCCATCTCCTTCCTCCCATATAAAGATATATTATTATGCTCCCTTAAGTAGAGTTTTTCAAAATACTATCGATTTTATGTTACACTTACGGATATCGATTTATTGTACCTATTCGGATTTTTTAGGGTCTAGTATTATGTTGTCATGTGCTTAGTTTTTGAAAATGACCTCCATTTTAAGATTATGAAACGCAGTGGTGCCTTACTTAATCTTTTCGAATTTATTCGATGTAAGGGTCTTGCTATCAGAGAAGTATTTTTAGAAAATTACGTCCTTTTTAACATCATGTCACTGTGTTTTGTTTATATAACTTTTTTAGACTTATTTGGTATAAGGAACTACTTATATGCTATAGGAGACATATTATTTGATATTTATTTAATCTCTATTTAAAAATTACGCCACTGCATCTTGATTAAATGAACTTTATTTTAGATTTTTTCAATACAAAGTTTCATCAATATGTTTTCGAATATGAATAAATAAATATTATGAAGCTAAGGTTAAATTAACCATAAAACACAAAGTAAAAAGTCGAAAAATCAACTGGTAATAAATTTAAACCTACCATTTTCAGATTTTTCAGCTAATTGTTCGAAATTCGTCTCTTATAATTTTTGTAAGAGGATAACGCAATATTAAAAAAGTAAAAAAAATAAATTTGAAAATGTTACAGTAGATATTTCAAATGTTTGAAATTGACTTGAAAATGCTATATTAACTAAAATTGTCAAGTATTACTACTATTTTGCCTTAATTTTTATTCAAAAAATCTTTTTTTTTTTTACGAGTTTTGGTCTTGCAACAGTTAGGCAGTCTCGGTCTTGGTCTTGGTGCAAGACCAAGATCGATTTTGGGTAACACTAGTAGAAAGTGACCAAGTAAGTGCATTATCTACGGAACCGTTGAATATATATTAAAAGTTAAACAGTGATTCAGAAAGAACAATATATTTCTTGTTTCGTTACTGTTGGCAGTTTAATTAGAAACGACGCTTGATTTTCGACTTTAGTTTGAACTAGCTGATGTACCAATCTTTGACGGGTGTATAGTTAAAATATGAGAATCTTCTTTTGAGATGTATATTGTAATATGGGAGAGAGGTTAATTTCATAATATTGGGTGAGGGGGGGAGAGATAATTTCAATTTTTAGAAGTATTTCTTCCAATTTGCGGCTAATCCGTTTTGTTAATCCTAAAAAGGTATACGACAACATTTGTTAGGCTCGGGAAGTTGAATAGAATGAAACATTGAACAGGAAGATTGGACAATGTTGGAAAATGAGCGTATTTTAAGCGACAACGCGTTACAGATGTTTGGTATTTCGGATTTTTCCCGTTGTGTTGTGATAATTTTTTCCATCAGTTGAATAGTACAACCGTTAAATATGGCTCGCGGTAGAGTAGGTTGGGATGAGAATCGAAGTAACTGCCTAACCGGGATCTCTAGACAAATTACCCAAGAACTCATAACTCTGGTTCTGTTAAATATTTTGTTTTCATTTCAAGCTTATGTTTTAAGTCAAGTAAACCTTACTATAATATAAACAATTTCAAAAGCCCACAATAAGCCATTGCTGAGCTTACCCTTGACAAAATTTCGTTGCAATGCGGACATACAGACAGACAAAAAATTTTTTTAAAGTGGATTTGGTGTCTGCAACGAATGAAACAGAAAGATGTCATAAAACGAGTTGATTCTATTCAATGTACAGACAGAATCTTTATTTTATTTATATAGATGACTTGAAAAAATTTACTTCACTTGTATTTTTTTTTTTAATTTTAATTTTAATTGCATCACTTATAAGTTCAAAATTGTATTATTGCCTAACCTAATTATTTTTAAAATATTTTTTTTGTTTCATTATTTTCTGACTATCCAACTAAATAAAAGGCGTATGGTGAATTTAAGCCAAATATTGAATCTCAATTACTAAAATACTAACTCCAGTCAAAGTCTTCTGTACGCCATGTTTGGAAGCCATTATGGGAGAGTGCGGCCTCTTTTTTTGTGTAGGAAATTTGTTTTTTCTAGTGGGAGAGGATCTTTTTCTTTCTCCATATATGTGCTGATTTTTCCATTCTCATGATGCCTATATTGACGAAACGTTGGAAGGTTAATTGTTCATCTTCAGGTTAAAGACTCGAAACTATTCATTAATATCCTATTTTTGATAATCTAATGTTTCCTTAAATTTGTTTTCATATAACTGTTGTTATCAAGAGACAGTGTTCTAAAATAAAGCTATTTTTCTATTCTATTTAATTATATTTTTATTCAAAGTAAGTTAGTTGTTTTCTTCTTCGGAGCATTGAAGAAAATTCGTGAGGAAGTTTGAGTTCTCAATTAATTGTGTTGCCGACCGGGTTCATATAATTACACCGAAGTTAGGGAGAGAGCTG